GGGAGCTGGGGCTGTGGGCAGCGGTCAGGGCCAGGGGAGGGGGAGAGACGGGGTGGTTAGCATGAAGCCAAGGTGAGTGCTCCCAGGTGAGGGCAGGCGGAGGGCAGTGAGGGCAGGGCAGGCCCCACTACATGTAGGGAGGGAGGGCTGACAGGAGCCCAGGAACAGCAGCCAGGGAGCGGGGAGATCTACGGCAGGGACACCCTCCTTCCCCACCAAGGCAGGAGGCACTTCAGGAAGGGGGGCGGCATAGCTGGGAAGTCGTGAGGGGACGGCTCAGAACTGCCCATGGGCCCTGCAGCAGGAATGGCCCCGGTGACCGTGCTGGGGGTGGGTCCTGTAGGGCAGCCTGTGGTCCCAGGTGAACACTGACACCGCCCTCCTCACCAACTCTAAATGTCACACACATGGATGGGCCAGTGCCTGGTCTCCCTAGTTCAAGGGAGAGCAAAGGCCCCAGTACAGACTCAGGCGAGAGCAGCAGCCGGAGGCGCCAACCAAGATCCTGCCCCCAAAGCTGAAGTCCCTTCTGGGCCATATCCACCCTGGGACCCATCAGACAGCATAACAGCGGGACAATGGGGACAACCAACAGGGCAGCTGCTCCTTGCCGGGTGGGCAGGAGCAGGCTTAAAGGTCCGACTCGGTATGTGACACTTGACTCACACACCCTCCCTACTTGGGGGCAGGCCATAGTTCTGAGCCCAGGCAGGGAGGTGCTCAGGAGGAGGCCCTGTCCCTGCGCTGGGTTCACACATGCTGCCTCCGGTGCCGCAGCACCTCCGTGGGCGTGAACAGAAAGTCCTGCTGGCAGGTCTCACAGTGGTAAGGCCTCTGCAGGGCCGAGGTCTTCTGTGGGGGCTCAGGGGCGGCTTCCTCAGGCCCTAAGAGAGAGAAGAAGGCAGGCTGAGGGGGGCGCTCCGCTGCGGGCTCTCATCCCCACCCAAACTCTGGGCACCCGAGGGGCTCAGGCTCTCCTGGCCTTTGGGGAATCTGGCTCTGCCTTCTCCGGGAAGCCTTCCTTGATCAATATGCACACAGAGGCCAATCTTTACTTCGTGTCCGGAGGGAGAGGCAAAACGACTAAGAGGCAGACCAAAAGGGCCCTGGGGTGGGGACCGTGCACTGCAGCGGGCACTGCAGCATCCCCTGGGTAACAGCAGAGTGGACATGGCCAAAGCAGAGACAGCTGTGGGACAGAGCCACAGACAGACAGAAACACAGAGGCAGACCACAGAGAGACCAGAGAGGCAGACAGAAAGAAATGAGAAAGAGGTGGCATTCCAGGCCCTCCCCAACCCGGGCTCCAGGTTTCTGTGACACAGTCTGTATGTGGCGTCCACCAGGCAGCCCCCAGAGTGTCCAGCGAATGCCCAGACGCACAGTAAACAACCAGGGGACGGACAGACAACTGGGTGGGCACAGGTTCCCAGCCCCCACAGCCGCACCCTTACCTGGGGGGCCTTCCTGCGGGGCCTCGGGGCAGGTGTTCTCATGGGCGATGCGCTCCAGAGGCGTCAGAGGCATGTGCAGGCCGCAGTGGGGGCAGGTCCAGAAGGTGCGGAGACAGTCGCTGTACAGGTCCGTGTCACTCTACGGCAGGCAGGCCATGTCAGGGCTGAGCCCCCTGCCCCTGCCCCACCACAGCAAGCCTAGGACCCTTCCCAGAGCCCCGAGGGGCTGTCAGGCCCCATTCTGAAACTGTACCCCTGGAATAGGTTGGAATGGGGTTGCGGGGAGCTCCCTAAAACCCTATCTTCAGGGGCAGAAGGGTGAGGGGCCAAGGCGGGGTCCATGCTCACAGTGAGGCAATTGTAGGTGAGGAAGTCAGTGACTGTGTAGCCCCCTTTGGTGGGGTGGGGGGACAGGGTAGAGCTGCCAAAGAGGCCAGGGAGACTGGGGGTAGTTGTGATGGTCTGGGGTCCCACATAGAGGTTCTGGACTTCCAGCCCCGTGAGCCGCCGGAGGCTGTAGAGAACCTGAGGAAAGACAGACAGGAGACAGACTCAGGGAGACATTATCAGAGCACCTGGATCCAACTGTGCCTGAAGACCACCCCTGGGCTTTTCACTTACGAGGACCAACTGCTTAAGTTAATCATAATATGGTGTCAGACACTCACGACCTGCGTCTTGTCTACAATATGCCCTGATGCCACATCCAGACCTTGAGTGTGGCCTTTAAGTCTGGATACCCTGCTCCTCCTTCCCGACATGTCACCCTGTTCCTCTTTCCCTGGTTTGCTGGTCCCTCCACTCGTCCATGAAGTTGTCCTGGATTGCACCCTCCTTCCCTGCCCCTGCCACGTGTAACGGAATCAGGATCAATTCTCAGCTCCCCACCTAAGGGGTGAGGGGTTGGTTTTAGATCTGCTCTGTCCAACTCCTTCCGTCTGTCCTCCACGAGTAGGGACCTCACGGCTTCTCTCTCACACCCTGCATGCCCTTAACTGTTAGTGAGGCGTAACCTGCACGACACATGCAGTAGGTGATTAATACGCACCTGAAGAATAAGGGCTACAGGGGTTAACGGCATGGTCTCTGGTGCCAGGCTCCTGGGGTCAAACCCTTGCTCCAGCCCTTACCAGCTGTGGCACCTTGGGTTTATCGTCAACCTCTCCGGTTTGAAAACCCCCAAATGTGTGCACATTAGGGGTGCTGGAAGCCAGGCCTTCTGAGCCTTAATCCCGGCGGCAGATGCCCCACCAGGGTGGCGCAGGTACCCGGGCGGCAGTACCTTGGATGCCATGAACTGCAGCAGCTCCCTGCTCAGGGCCTCCACCTCCTTGCGGTTGACAGGAGCCTCCTCGTCTTCCTCTTCCTCCTCCTCCTCCTTTGGTTGCCGCCGCCGGCGGGCCTGATAAGCCAGCTGCCGGTCCAAGGCATGTTCCCAGTGGGCACGGAGCCGCAGGGAAGTTGCCAGGAGCCGGACAGCACTCTCACTATCCGCAAGCTGGAGCTCCAGCCAGCCATCGGCCACCAGGCGGGAACAGTCACCATTGGTGTCCAGGGACCGGCTGAACAGCAGGAGGGACTGGAAGAGAGGGGGTAGAAGACAGGCAGTGGGTGCGGGGCTCCTGCTCCCCCACCCATTCATCCATATACCTGTCCATCCATCCACCTGTCTATCATCCATCTGTCCATCCAATGTATCTATCAATTCCCCCACACATCTACTTGTTTATCCATCTACCTGTCTATCCAATGTATCCATCCACCCACNCTCATGTTATACACAAAAACTGGAAAAGGACCTGGACTTAAACATAAAATCTAAAATTATAAAACTTCTAGAAGAAAACATATGAGAAAAATGTCATGACCTGGGAGGATAGGCAAAGATTTCTTAGGTAGCACACAAAAAGTACAAATAATAAAATAAGTATAAATAATAAAAATAAAAATCAGGGCCGGCTGAGTGGCTCAGTTGGTTAAGAGGTGGCTTAAGAGCACGGGCTCTGAGCAACAGGGCCGCCGGTTTGATTCCCACATGGGCCAATAACGATGCGCCCGAGCTGAACTGTCGCCGAGCTGCCAACAGGTGGCAGGATGGCTCAGCTGGTGTAACAACAAGATTGTCTGTTTGATGGTGGGCTACATACGCCCGTTAGCAACTAAGACTGAACTCGGCACCTTGAGCTGAGCTGCTGCCCGGATGGTTCAGTGGATAGAGCGTGCGCTCTTAACAACAAGGTTGTTGGTTCGACTCCCGTATGGGATGCTGGCTACGCCCACCCACAACTAAGATTTAACACAGCGCCTTGAGCTTAGAGGCCATGAGCTGCCAACAGGTAGCCAGATGGCGACTGGCGCCCTCCACAACAAAGATTGAAGAACAACAACTTGGCTGGTCCCCTTCCCCAATTCCTCAACGCTGTTGCCCTCCCCTAACTCCCCAATAAAATCTTTAAAAAATAAATAAATAAAATAAAAATCTTTAAATACAATTAATAATATAAATAAAATAAGATAAAAATAGGTACAAACATAATTTAAATTACAAATAAAATAATAAACAATAAAATTAATAATAAAACAAAAATGATTTTAAAGTACAAATAAAAGAAAAATGATAAATTGAATTTCATGAAAATCTAAAACTGCTCTACAATATACACTGTTAAGAAAATTAAAAGGCAAGTATCGACTTGGAGAAAATATTAATACATATATTTGACAAACATTTATATTTAAAGAAACATATTATATAAATTATATATGTATTATAAAAATAAATCAATAAGAAAACAACACCTTTGTAAGAAGCAAAATATTTAATATAAACTACCAAAAGTATATAAATAAATGGGTAACAAGCCCATGAAAAATATTTGACATTAGTCATCATGAAAACCATTCAAAACAAAGTAAATATAGTTAGAACGGCTTAAGTAACAAACACTGACAGTACTGACTCAGTACGTGGCAAATTTAGGGCTCTCATACATATGTTGCTGGTGGGAGCACAAATTGGTAAAACAACTTTGGAAAACAATTTCAAAGAATCTGCTAAAACAACATATGTGTGTACAAAAGAATAGATAAATACATTGTGATTAATTCATACAATAGAATGAACAAACCACAGCTCCATGCAACATGTTGAGTGAAAGAAGCCAGATACAAGAGAGTACTTTTTTTTTTTAAGTTCTAGAATGGCTAACACTGGGCAAAGTCAGACTATTGATCACTCCTTGGGGCTGGGGGTTGCGGGGAGGGGCATGCGGAGGGAGCCCCAGCTGCCTGCTGGGGGCTGGTTCGGTTTGTTTCCAGATGTTAGTGGCACAGGTATATTTCATTTTCTGGGAAAACTCACCAAGCTGCTCAGTTATGATGTGGTCACTTCTGTATGTAGTGCTTCAAGAGAAAGTTTTAAAAGACTGTAATGAAGACATGCACTGTTTGCACGTTGAAGGATCCTGCTAAATCACCTTCCAGAGAAGTTGTACCAATTCCCCTCAAGTTGGATGGAAGTGCCCATTTCCCCACAGACTCGCCAGCAGGGGGCAACGTCAATCTTTTTAACCTGGGCCAATCTGATGGGCGCAAAATGATGTCTCCAGGTTTATTCCATGCAGCTGTGAGGATGGCAAAGCCTGGCCCCACCTGGACTATTTGTGTAAGTACTGGAACAGTTACCTCCCCAGGTAATGAATGGGTAATAAGAATGTCTGGTGCTGTTAAAGGCCATAGAGTTCACCCCGAGAGGCTATGACCCCTGTGTTTCCTCAGTTCAGACAGAGGCCCTGATGGCCGTCTCGGGGCATTAAGAGTTTCCTCCCTCCTTCCAGCAGAGTCCTTCAGACTCACTCCCCAGGATGGACATAATGGGTCAGACACCAGGAGATGCTGAAGGGTTTTTGACGGACACTGGATGGCTTTTATTTTCAGACCCACCTCCCTACCTCCCTACCCCCCACCCCACCCCACCCCCGCTCCAAACACAAATAGAAAGAACTCTGTTTCTTGCCTATAGGACATTCATTTTATTTTATGTTTTAACATGGAAAAAGGAAGGAAAGCAAAAATAGTGTCCTGACAAGCCATGTTCTTGGACTGGCTGGACAGGGGTGAGGGAAGCTCTGAGGTTGGTCTCTCCCTTTATCCATTTATTTCTCTATTTTTAATACTTTGAGTTGGGGAAGGCATTTTCGGGGCCATAATATAATCGGGGTAGAGATCTGACAACCCCAAAATGGAAAAGTTTTGAGTAAATTCATCAGAAACAAAGCCAAGTGATAAGCAGCAGACTGGCAGAAATGTTTGTTACATCTACAATGAAGCTTAAGATCCAGAAATATATAAAGAGCTACTACAAACCAATAAGAAAATCACAAAGAGCCTAGGAAAAACATAGTCAAAAGATTGGAGCCAGCACAGAAGAGGAAATACAAATGGGCCAGGATAATGCAAAGATGCTCAGGCTCACTGGCAATCGGGAAATAAAAATAATGTAAGTCGGTGAGGCCTACATGGCAGGACATTTGGGACAATGTATCAAATGCCATGTAAAACCCACCTTCCCTTGAACCAGCAATTCCACCTCCAGGAACTTATCCTGCAGATGGACACGCATCTGGGAATTACACGTGTCCAAGGATACCTGTGCCAGCTGTTTGTAGGAGCCAAAGATTGGAAGCAGCTTCACGGTCTCTCCAGACAGGCCCAGCTACACACACGTGTGGCACAGCCGTGGAATGGAGCACTCTTCAGCCACGCAAAAGAACGGGCAGGCTCACTGGTTCACAAGGTCTCCGAATTCTACTACATGCAAGTTGCAGAACCATGGGTGGTATGGTCATGTTTTGAAAAATCAAAACATTCAATTTCCACATGCACATGTGATTGTTATACCAGCCAACTTGACCTTGGTCAGCTGGGAGACCGGTCCGGGCATGGGATGGCAGGAGCCGAGATGGGGTCAAGAGGAGGGGACTGGCGGTCAGATTCTGAATCTCTATTGAAGGGGCGCTCATGGGATGGGCTAAGAGTGCAAGTAGGTGGGGGAGAGAGGGACCAGGTGACATGGAGGACCTTGGCCTGACAGTGAATGGAGGTGCGCTGTTACTGAGCTGGGGCAGAGGCCTCTGATTTTGGGGAATACAAACTCCTGAAAGTAAAGCTCAGACATCGTGGTTGGCGGAGAGAGACAGAAGATGAATATATGAACGGTAAGTGGT